GTGAAGACGTTGGAATAAATTATGGAATAAATAAGGGATAATTTACTAGTTACTATAGATTCAGTATATTAAAAAAGCCTGAGCGAGTGCATAGAATATGATAAGGATAAGAAACTCTCTGTTACAACATCAAACCAAGTCCAGAATTATTATTGCTAATATGTATTGTAATATATCTATCTCACTAAAGCACTTCTGGATGGATGCAAACTGCATTTCGTTGCCCTGTACCTGTGCATGTGCAATGACAATAAAGTTGAATTCTATTCTATTCTATTCTAGAACACTCCTGAGAGATGCGTCCATGAGTGTAAAACAAGGTTCAAACCACTGCTTACACTCAAGAACAAGAAGGCCTGACTAGACTTTGTCAGGAAACATTTTAAAGAGTCTGCACAGTTCTGAGAAAAAAAATCTTCCGACAATTGAAACCAAGATTATCTTTTAAAAGAATGATGGGAAGAGAAAATCATCATCTGTCAGACATGGAGAAGGCAGTGTAATAGCATGGGCATGTATGAGTGTGATGATTTGTCTGAATCAGAGTCATCACAATCAAATATTTGCTGAGACCTTTAAGAAAAACATTAACATGTATCGTGGTGGGATTAAAGGAAAAGCCAAATGATGACTAAGGTCATTGAAAAGTATCCGTATCATACTCCGAATAAAGTCCTTACACCAGCGCTGTCAAACATAAGATTCAACGGGAAGAATTGGCCCTGCAAAGTCTTCAATCGAGCTCACTGGATGACTTTGGAAAATGTGAAGGAGAAGATAAAATTTGGACTTTTAATTGCATTTTAAGGTTTTTCAGCCTCCCAAAGGCCATCAAAACAGATATCAAGACATCAAGGACGATTTCTTTCTGTTGAAGTAGCACTTCCTGTTTTTATATAAGATACCTCAGGGATTAAATGTGCAGTTAAACTTCTGTAAACTAATAAAAAGTGCACTTTCATTGATCCATCCCACAAAAAATCAAAATGGGCTGGATGTGACCCATTATGTAAAACGAGTTTGACATCCCTGGTTCACACTGTTCATCTAATCGGGGACATAATCACTTTCTGACTCAGCATGCATAAATATTTTTTAAGCCTCTTTCAACTTCCACGCTTCTTTTCCTGCACTGCTGTCTCGGTGCTCGTGTCCAGGGTTTTATCAGGAACTCTCTGAGCCTTATCTCTTTGCACAAATGCTGGACAAACACACACATGTGCACACACAAATTTAACAAAAACAAGCCATTTATTGTTGAAATGCCTGTGACCTCTGCAAATACTGACCCCCTCCTTTAAGCTGTTTGCAGGGCACGTGATGAGTAAAAGCAAAGGAGTGTTTACCGAATACTGACCCTGCATTAGATAACATTTCCTTTGCCTGTTTTAAAAAGAGGAAACCAAAAGGATTGCTGGCATCAGAGTGAGCACTGTATGGGATTTTGCAAGCATTGTTAGGTAGAAATGTTATTGATTAGATGACCAGTTAAGCAGCTATGGCCTTTTAATTAAACAGATTAAATGACTGACCTAGTTATATCTTTTCTTTAGAGAAGCAGTGTTGGTCAGTTCTCAAACCTATTTTCTGGTAAGTGTTTTATCAGAGCTCTTTATCCTGCTACAATTATAGTGACGTAATTAGAAACAGTCCAATCTAATCAGCCAAACAATGCCTACAGAAGGCTGCTTTGTTTCAATCAGCGAGCGAGGAAGACGATCAAGGATCAGGTGTCCTCTGTATCTGCAGCCCAGCACAGTCAACACTATCAGAAGCAAAGGGGCCAGTGTTTGATCACAAAGTTAGCTTGATCAGCCGATAATCGCAAGGGTTTTTACACATACTGAAGAAAGAGAGCAATCTAATTCCGCTGCCTGTGTTTATTTATATTAGAATATATTTAATTATAAAGCACTTGAGATTTTTGTAACTTGACTTCATTGTGTGATATTTAATTTGTTGTTAATGCGGATCAGAGTGTTTGGCAGCTTTCGGCTGGTTAGCTGATGATGGTGACAGAGGAAAAACAGACCCAGAGCATTTTACTTTGAGTAACTAAACCTCTTCTGGAAAAAGAAATTATAGATAAGAACCTTTGCACACTGTCTCATTTTATCAAATCACAACGTTTCAGTCCAACCGACCTTCATCAGGTACAAAAACACAGAGTACCTGATTTAGTTAAACCCGTAATTAAACCTCTAAAGTGTCGACTAAAACCCAGACACACAAGGGTGTTTGAGGCTGAGCTTTAGTCTTCATTATAGCCACACATTACATCTTTAAACTAATCATTAATTCAAAATTAAATTAAGGAGGTCGATTTCTTTAAAGGAACTTTAATTAGATTAACTTTTGTTCTGTCTGATACATTTAAATGAAAGGTGGTCAATACACGAACGTACGAAGTGATAATGCTGAATTCATTTATTGGTTATTGGCTTCTTGTTCTTCTGAATCTCAGAGAGAGAACACCTCCAACACGCTGTGTATTACATATATATGTACTCTGTTTAATGTGCATAATTTTCTGAGTCATGAAAGGAGGAAAAAAGTAAAAGTTGGACTATTAATGTTTTAATTTCTTTTCAGGCACGACTCTATAGCTAAAGGGAGGTCTAGTTTCTGTACTTGCTGACCCACTAAAACCTGCTCAGTGCTCAGTTACTACAACAAACTGGTCCACTTATTTTTACTTTCCTAATGATGAAACACGTGATGAATGTGTTCGTGACTAAAGGTGGATTTGCAGTATGAACTTTTTTGTCTGCGATGACAAAAATCTGGGTCGTTTCAATCCAGTCTCCAGCGATTCAGGTGACCTTGTTGTTTTGTTCACTCGGCACAGAAAAGCAAGGCCTCGCACAGATTTGTAGATTCAATAACTCAAGATATGTAACGCCTGTCGTCTATTCCGCTATCATGAGTCAACAGTTGTTCAGGAAGTGCTGCTGGGGGTCTCTCAGGTGAAGCTTTCCTATAAAATCAGAGGAAATGCGAATAAAGGGAAAGATGTTTGACAGTAAATGTGTTGTGAAGCACTTTGGCTCAGGGCTTCTCATCCTGCCAGTTAGCTCCTGCACTGAATGAGTGTCCTTGTGTCTCCTACACTGCCAGGGACTGCTTACTCCAGCTGTCCTCTTATCTCTTCAGGGAGAAAGGAAAAATGAGAAATTCCCACCAGTTATTGAGACAGTGAGGGGAAAATCTGGAAGAAGCGGCAGTGCTTTGGCTTTTAAAGAGACATGCTCGTGTTCTGCACAATATTCAGTTAGGTGTGAGCTCAAGAAGGATTAAGATATATTTATATAGAGATCTTTTCTATTTTAGCTGAGCACCTACAAATACTGGTGGTTGGACACACTACAATAAGAGGTAACAATGCAAGTTTTTACAGAGAAAGAAAGAGAGAGTGTAATTTCGAGTAGTGCACACAAATTGTTTTTTTTCTCTTCGTATTCTCTGACCCTTCTCTCTGAAGGCGCCAAATTGTTTTTAAAAACACATTTTTTATCATTATAACTGATTTTCCAAGAGCAACCATCATTATGTGAATTCTAAATATAGATTTATTTAAAAAACATGCAGCCCAAAGATTCTGAAGCAACAACATCGCATGCAGGATGTTTACAATGTTGCTGTGTAACCAGTGTATTTCGCTCTTTAGCCCTCAGTCATAAAGGCTTAAAGGCTGGTTGGTTTCCCCCGGCAACCTCAGCTGGTTTGTGAGTGATTGCTGGAGGCTGCAAGGAGATGTGTGGTGCAGGATCAAAAACCTCCTTCCAATCACTGTGAGCTCGGGATGCTGGCAGCGAGTTTGCATGGAAGTTCCTGATACGTCTGCAAACACTCGCCAACTGCTCCTGATAGAGTTCTACCTTTTATGCGGTGCCTAAGCGCCTTGTGTAATGTTCACCTACACACTCACTGGGGGCAGCTCAGGGTTTATGGAGAGAAAATATTCTCAGAAGGTTGATACATGCGGATGATGTGATCCGCAGCTGTAAACTAAAATGTATAAATGTGTGTAATTCTAAGTCTTTCCAGATGTGGGTTTGCAGTACAAATGTGAACAGGCACAAAACCATTTTACATCCAAACCGGATAAGCAGTGATCACAAGCATTTTTAATTTCAGTGTCACATGTTTTTCACGTTCACAGAGTAGTGTACACATATCCAAGAGTGTTTGTGCCACGCTTCACACCATCACCGTGCACGTGCACTCCAGGATTTCGGACGATTTGGTGTCAGCTTCACGGAGCCACATGTTTAAGAAAACTGGGACATATGATAAAAAAATATCAGTTTTTAGTCGTGGAATGACGAGTTATCCACTTTATTTAGAAGAAAAAAAGAGTTTGTTTTTTGGCAGTGACACGGGAAGTCAGATATGCCAGTTTTCCGGTTGTACTTAAACGCATTTACATTTGTTGACATGTGAAACTGACACCGTAAAAACTGCAAGCATGGCGTGCACGAGCAACGTGATTCGTCCATATCAGGTGATCATTTTAGGCATATTCGATGATTTAAAGGCGAGTGAAAAAATGTCACAAACATTCTTAGACATCTGCACACACAGGAAACTATATATATGTGTGTATGTGGATTGGAACACACTAGCAGACACATCCACACACACACACACACACACACACACACACACACACACACACACCACACTCTAGACAACACACACACACACACACAGAGAGAGAGAGAGAGAGAGATTTACACACAAATCCCTGTGAACACTTGTACATCTTGGTTCACGCATGTGAATCATCAGACTAATTTCTCTCCACAGAATCAAAATAAATGTTACACCCCCGATTTAGGCAGAGGTGTCTGTGACCATGTAAAGCTGCACAGACCCCACGGATGAAAACACACCGGCAGTGCTGTGGCGTGCAGCGTGAGGTGTGACGTCTCGGTGAAAGAGCTAAATTTAGACCGCATCTTGAATAATAAGCGAGAGAGTATGACAGAGGAAGGGGGGCAAAGGGAGCAGAAGCAATGAAGACTGAATCTACATATATATATTTTCTTTTCTCTTAATCAAAAAGCGGTTTTAGTTGTTTATTGAAGGAGGAATGAGTAACGCAGCACGAGCTCATGGTCGTGAGAAGAAAAACACAGACTCGAAGTAGACAGGGGGCTGGGAGTGGGGCGGTGCTATGAAGAACGTGTATCTACTCAAATTCAGAGTGTTCTGTTCAAGGTTTTCACAAGTCGGTGTTTACGGCAAAGCTGAGCTACTTCTGAGTGCTTCCTGCACTGCTGGAGCAGCTCTCTGAGAGGATGTTTTTGTCTCTCCGGCTCACACCTGGAACAAGGAAAGACTGAGAGAGCTTTTTCTTGTTTTGTTTCGAAGTGTCTCTTTGTTTGACACAAGGACCGTGTCACTGTATTTATTACCTACCTGACACTGGAATAAGCGTTTTTCTCTCGATAAACGGACTTATCATCACGCGCTACTTGTGTCAGGCTCTACTGCGCGAGATCACTTTGTTTGGTTTGTCAGCTGCGCGGAAATCTTGAAGAAACTTAGCTGTCAGGAAGCTGCGCTTTTTTATTTCTTTTTGCACACGGTTTCCAAAAAGCACTTCACATTTTTGCTGACCTTATGCTTTTTAATATAGAGATTTTTTTTCTTAATCTGACAAATTAATCAAGTTGCTGAAAGCAGCAACGATAAACGTCCTTTATCAGATAAGCGGGGCACGTTTCCTGTACGCACAAGGAAGACGCACAAGGAAGACGCTTGCGCTCAAGCACTCCAAGCGCACGGGCAACACCAAGTGCATAAAAAAGACATTTAAAACGAAATAAAATCGTCCATCTAATAAGATGACGGACGGCCCAAGACAACGCAGCAGCACGGCGGGATCTGCCAAGGATGGTGCCGCTGTGAAGGAGTCAGGAGGAGGTGTTGCGCTCAAGAAGGAGATCGGGCTGGTGAGCGCCTGCGGTATTATTATTGGTGAGTGTCACTGCTGTTGCGTGGGAATGACATGTGGTGCAGGCTGTTGTCTGACAGCACAGCGACGAATCTTTATGTTGAATGTCTGAGGGTCTGAGACTGTATGAAAAGTGTGTAAAAATGAGAATATGACAAACAGGGACGGGACTAAGCACTGCAGAGAAAATCAGAGTATACAGCCACCTGCTCTTCAGTTATGAGCAGGGTAAAAAAAAAGCTGCACTGGGATCAAATTCCAGATTTGAGGAATGTAGTTTACAAGTTTATGATAATGATGATCATTTGTGTGACTCTAAAAGCAAGGCAGAAATGTTGGCAACACATATTGTAGTTAATCAAAAAGGGCGTTAAGTCTCCATCATGCTTAAAATGATTAAAACAGGCAAACACACTCTCTACAGAGCAACCTCACATGACAGCTGGAAACAGCTGAACACAGGTAGACACCACAAACTAAACTTATATTGTAACTGAGTCTGCCCTGTAACAGTCTCCTGCCCCTTGCCCCTGCAGTCGTTAATCACTGAAGCTATCATCATTTTTCTGTAGTCAATTTTCTGCAGCAATCAGGATGTTGTCCCTTTAACTCATCTCTGAGGATTGGTGCATGCAGTTTTTAGGCTCATGTGACTGATCTGAGCCTGCAGCTGTAATTTAGTTAGGATTGACTGGAAAATGCACCTTTAGCCCATTATAATGCACACACACACCAAAATACACGCTCAAAATTTCAACCCTACAGTGATACTGGATCATATTACTTCTTTCAATCCGCTTACCATATATGGTTCATCAGATAAAGGGTTAAAGACATTTCTCCAGCCACTTTAACTTTTAGTTCAGTTATTTGACTCCTTACTCCTGTAAAATGCAGGAACCTTTGCACGGGAATCCACCATTCTTTGCTGAATACTGCACCGTGACACTTTTGAGGAAAAGTAGTAATAGAAAGCTGCTTTGCTGTGTATTTGAGTATCGTGTTGAGTGCAAAGACCCACAAGACTGTAAAGTTTAAGATCAAATCAGTAACATTTTGATATTTTCATTATGGATTTTCAAAAATTTCACTCCATGACTAAGACTCCTGTAGTGATAATGGCCACTGTTCATGCTTAGAGTGTTTAATAAAGTATTGAGTACTCCAGCAGTCCCCTAAACTGCAAGGAGTGAGGAGTA